GACTTGAAGATTTCTACGCAGATAGCTCAAGAATGATGAACTGAATATTTCAAATATTGCTCTCTGTATTGTGTATTGCCTCTGCTTCAAGTCTTCAATCCTTGCCCGTATTTATAGCCAACAAAGACCATATAGCCGTTGTAGCTTCTTCAATCCTAGCCGTCCATCTGATTTGCGATGCTCCAATTTGCAACTTGCTCTGAAGCAATTAAATGCAGCAGCTTTCGGTGGAGAATAGCTTTATCAGATTTATTTGAAAAACTTCATCTGTGTAATCTTCAAAAGTCATATATTGCGGCTGATCTTCTGCAATAAATCTTCTTTTGGTTTGGATGAAATATCTTCTGACAAAAGTAAATCTTCATGTTCAGATCTTCAAATCCGACCGTGCTCTTGCTCTTGAGGAAGAGAAAATCTGATAAGAAATGCCGTGCTCTGCTCTTGCTTGAAGAAGATAAAATCTTCATAAAGAAATTCCGGCCATGCTCTCTGCTTCTAGTTCAAATGCGAGAAAGAAGAAGTATAGAGAATGAAGCTATCCTTTAAATTGTTTCGACAGCATTTACCAGGTGTTATTTCTTCATAAAACGCTATCCTCAAGAATCAAAACCATGTCCAATCACAATGCTTCTCAAGTGTCTAACCAATGCTCCGTGACAACCTATTACTCATATTTGGATTGATAATCAATTTATACGCTTTCTGCCTGAGTATCACTGAGCAAAATAGACGTCACAAAGATTCAAACACGAGTCTTCACCAAAACACAATAGTGCTTTATCCATTGACCTACTATGACTTCTTAGCATAAATACTGCAAAGAAATCCTAAGTACCAACATTCTGAGAGGTTCTATTTGCCTTTAAATTTCGTAGGATATTTGGTTCAGGTCTATTTTGAAGTTTGTACACTAGACTCAAAATAAAATATGGGGAATTCTAAAATTACAATTTTGGCTCATCAAAACTATATTACAATTATTCCTAACAAGTGCTTTCGGGTTTCCGGTCAAATCTCCTCTTCTTTGGTGATTTTGTGATCTCACCTCCCACACTGATGGATTCCTCTCTTTCTTGCGACCTTATCTGTAAAATTTCATCGCATTCATCCACCGTCGCCGTCATCACGCGCCGGCGCATGAGGCTACCTTCGGCGAGATTTTCTAGATTGTTGTTTTGCCATTCTTTCGATTTTTGGGTGAAATTGAAGGATTTTTTTGGGGGGGTGGGGGTGGGGGTGGGGGGGGGGGGAGTTGTTGCCAAACTTCTCCCCGTGGTGTTTGTGTTTTGGTATAACCATGTTTGTTTCTTTATCTGCGGTATGCCTTATCCCATAGGTGTTTAGTTTCAGCACTACTCTAAAGGCCTTTGATTATTTCCCATGTTTCAAGTAAGGGGGAGTATGACAATCTACAAACGGTGTTCTATTTTACTTATTTTACTTTGTTTTCTTAGTTATCTTCATCTCGTTGCTTTGGGTTTATCTTCATTACTATGGGCTACTGCATCATTTGTTATTCTTTGCTCCCATTCGCCTCTACTGCTCTCAATGAAGGCTTTGTTGGCAAATCCTAGAGTGTTTATGTTGCTGTGGTGGTGTTCGTGTTAATCTTCACCCTTGGTGCCTTCATTCCCAAGAGTTGTTCGTGACAAGCTTCGCCCCTGGTGCCTTCCTTCCCAAGGGTTGTGTATATCATTGCCCTTCCGAAGCCATCCAGCATTGTTATTTCCTATCCTTGGTGCGTTCATCTTCATTCCTGATGATCGTGTTCAACTTCGTACTTGGTGTGATCATTCCCAAGTTCTTGTTCAACTCCATCTTTCACTACACCAAATAAGGCATTTAGCGATGATTTTTATGATGTTTAGCGGCGGTTACAAACCGTCACCATTGTGTTTAGCGACGATTATTCAACCGTGACTAAATAGTGTATCGCGAAGCATTTAGCAGCGATTTTCTACAACCCCGAAAATTAATGAAAAACTTATTTTGCAACGATTTATTTCACAGCGCTTTTGGCATCATTAAAATAAGGTACTTTCTTTTTCTTTTAGCAGTGATTTTGTAACTGTCCCTAAATAAATCTATTTATTTATTTATTTAAATTTTAGTGGTTGTTATTAAGTGTCACTAAATTTGTTTCTTTATTTATTTTTAAAAGTTTTAGTGATGGTTATTAAGTATCGCTAAATATTTGTCTTTATTTATTTTTTAAAATATTTGAGGCAATTATTCAAGTGTCGCTAAATATATATTTTTTTCATAATTAAATATCGCTAAATGTTTTATAATTACATTATTATATTTTTATAATTATCATTTAATTATATTCCTTCAAAAATATTTATATTCGAATTCGTATTGCAATCACAAATAAACTCTATGTACACATTTAATTGGAAAGAAAATCAATTGTAACATTCAATAGTATTCAATAATATTTGAGCAACAACAACAACTACATATTTAATTACACAAGTATTTTTGACAAAATCAACAAGTCCATCAACAGCAAGCAATTCCTCTCATCTTAACCTTCAACAGCAATAACAAGTGATCAAAAAAATACTAAACACTAAACACAAACATTTGACAAACTCCATCAACAACAACAACAAGTGATCCTTCACAAACTCCTGGAGGATAACACCAATATTAAAAACAGAACCATGGATTCAAAAAAAAAAAAAAAAAAAAAAAAAAAAAAACTAAGACAGGAAGAACTTAGATAAATGTAACTACCTCATCTGATTGGGAGTTATCTCAGTGTCTGAATTACATTTGAATGTTCCTTGGTTCAAGTACGATTCACATTCATCATAACTTCTTGGCTATCAGAATTTGAATAGTTAAATGTTCCTCATCTAATTGGGAATATTCAAAAATACTAAGACAAGGGCAGTTAGATTAGGAGCTATAGTATTCATCCTGCTCTTCAAATAATCATAAACTGAGCTCTGTATTCTGAAAATGACAGAACTTGATTGCATAGGTCTTTAATATTCATTAGATCAAGATCGCTAACTTCAGTTCCCATGGAAATCATGGCCGCTTCCTTCAGTTCTGCCTCAACCTCCTTAGGGAGAATCTAAAGTTTCCAAAAAAAAAAAAAAAAAAAAGACAAAGATCTTCCAACACCTAATAAAAATAATACTCCGTAATCAATAGAATCATCATCTGAAATCAAAAGAAACTAATCCAATCTAAAGTTGTAAAAATGTGGTTTTTTTCCTCATGCAAATAACCAACTAATCAATGAAAGGTTCAGGCATTAAGTCCTACAAATAGTGAGAACTGAATTGATCAAGTACCTATAGTAACAACAATGAATCACAACACTGATGGGCGTTTCCCAGACATTAATTGTCAATAATAAAATAATAAACGGAATGAAAAAATACCTTAGAGAAGTCCAGCTTTGCAGCTTTTGTGCAGTCACCCATCAACTTCACAGTTTTGGCATAAAGGATATTGTCATGTACTATCTTTGCAAGCTCAAGAAAATGCCAACGATACCATTCTTGTACCCTAATTGCATGTGTTTAGCTCTTTATCAAGATCGTCCAATAGACTAATTGCTTGGACTATAATTGTATCGACCTAAAAAAATAATAAAAATAGATGGCATAACAACTAATCAAACTGAAAAGAATAAAGGCAGTATCTTAGATCTAAGTCATCTGCTGAAAACAAATGGCAATTTACCTTATCAGGGCTAAATTTTAGCTTGTATCTTGAAAGGCTGTGAGATAAACCCAAACTAATTGGAGCCAAATCTTGAACAGCCAAACCAGATATGAGCTCAGTCAATTGATTTCTCAATCCTCTTATCAATTCCATGACCGTATTGTTGTGCACACAATCAATTTGCTGCAGGCAAATTGTAGTTTAAGATCACAGAATATAAGAATATATAGTAAGGAATTAAATGAAAAGAAATGAGATCTTAGCCCTCATAAAAAACAAATGAAAAACAAATTTCAGTTTGAGTTCAGTTCAAGGGTAGTGATCTCAAAGAATAAAACAGAAATGAACAAAAAATAAGAAGAAAAAGAGCAAAGCTCTAGGAGAGCAAGCATGTTAACCCGTACAATTTAATCATTATATGCTCTTTCAATGTAAAAAATTTCCACTATCAACAACCGTGGTTATTTCATCATTTAGTTCTTCTTTTGTTAACTGCAAATTTTCAATCTCATTTAAAACCACAGGATTTTGATTTTCACTTGAGACTGAAGTACAATCATATATGTTAGTGTCAACATTTTCACCCATGTCAAAAAAGTCTCTTGGTTTGAGTGATTGGCAGCCAGTATGCAATACATTTCGATCACATTCCCTGAAATAGATACCAAAGGATTTTGCTTGTATTCAAATTCTATAATATAAACATCATTCTTCAGCATCCAATACTATGAAATTGCTTTTGGATTCAACACTCAGATGTCATCAACTTCTCAAAATTTGAAAATCTTGAAAGAATAACAATTCAAAACATGTGATCAAAATATTTGCTTCAAGTGAAGATTGCTATTGCTAAATAAGACTTAAAACTTGTCTCTGGATAAGAATGTATGACAAATTAAGTAAATGTTTAAATGAAACACACAATTGGCAGCCAGTATCATATAGGTGCTTTTACAGGATCACATTCACTATTTGCTGTAAAGTAAAGAATTAATTTGAATATTTCAAAGTAGTTATTACCAGCTGATTTATATTCATTAACTTATTGCGCCAAGAAGCAAATCAGCATTGGTGATTTGGTGTGTCAATCAAAGTTGTAAAACAGCAATGAGCTAACAAAATTGCCAAAAATATTTGTCTTAGTAGTAGAAGGATTTAAAATTAAATCAAGTTGCACATCAAAATTTTGAAAACACTAGAGAATGGTCTTACCTTGTCAACTTTGATCCCAGTCACTATTTTCCCATCCCGCAAGCAGTCAACAAACTTCTTACCATCACTAGTTGACTGGTACAGTGTCTCTTCTTACCTTCATCATCATCTCTGCTTAGCTTTGTGCCTCTGATCTTAACTTTTCATCGCCTCCCAATCTTTGTAGTTGTCTGTATGTGTTTAAGAATTAGATGTTAAGGAGAAACCAAATGCAAATGCCTGATGAAAGATTAAGATTAAAAGCATATAAACAATACTGAAATACCCAAAAAAAAAAATGAAAATAGCTAACTAAGCATGATTTTTCTTTAAGGAAAAAAAATGACAAAACAAAATAAACAGCTGTTTGCAAATGCAACATACCTGCCCTTATTCATTCATTGATATCATTCTCTACCTTCCTCCTCATCATATCCTTCCTTTGAGATGTTTACTTTTATCAATACTGGAAACAATAAATTAAGTTATTAAAAAAAAGTAGGTGAACACGCATTTATATAGGTAAGCAAATATGAGATACAGAAAATTGAGAGAAAGCATGCACATAATTATTGATTGCAAAGAATTTAAATAGCATGAAATGGGAAACAGTCAGAGATATAATATAAATAGAAAGAGACCGGAAAATATTTAGAACGAACAAGGAGGGCTTCATTTCCATAGCTTCGCTGCTCGTCTTGAATACGCTTTGCAGAAATCAAAAGGGAATCCCGGCAGTTATTTAATTGAATCAATTCAAGTGAGGTAATATCGGCAAACGCAATAGGGATCTCTTGCAAGTGACGGCAATCATGTAACTCTAAGTGTTGAAGCACAGGGAAATGATCACCCACAACATTCCAATCTTGGAAACATATGCTTTCAATTACCAACCTTTTCAATTGACGGAACCCTCCCTCTGATGTCTCCCACCTTTTGCCTTGGCAAGCATCTATCAATTTTAGAATTTCTAGATTCGGCAACATACCAATAAGCCTCATATCACTCCATGGCAACCTAGTCTCAAACAATTTGAGCTTCTTAAGATTTGGTAGAAAACTAGTTGCCCATGGGATGCCACTACTAGAAAGTTCGAGATGCCACATTTTGATGCTTAGTTTCTCCAGCTGCCCCAAGTGCACAAAATTATAGAAACCATCTGAAATTTCATTTTCAAAATCCTCTAGACCTATAATTCCCAATTTTTTTAAATTTGGAATCCTTGTAAAAAGATCCTCTGTACAACACTCCGAATACAACCAAGATATAGTCTCTATGTTTCTATGAACAACCTCTGAAGCCTCTAATGTAAAAGGATTTATGTCCACATAAAATTCCTTAACAATGGCATTTTCCAAATTCGAGATGCCTCACAGGAATCCAATATAACACCACATCCACGGACAATAAAACTTTGCATATTCCAATGCTCAAAGAGCTTTAGTTTAAGAGTGCCTACTTTTTCACTTAGGGACAAAGCTAAGTATCTCAAGTGAACAAGATTTGCCATATATAGCATCTTATCTTCAAAGTTCCAGAATCCAAGCTTCATGTCTACTACTCTTAATAGTTTGAAGTGACAAAGCACCTTAATGCTGAAATCAATATGATCAACAGAGTGTAAGGAATGGAATTTGTCAAAGCACTTAGATCCAACTGGAATATAGTAACATCCAGGTTTAATACTTATCCAAGGACAAGCTTTTGAAAACAAGTGATGTGATTTCCTCTTGTAAAATGGAAGTTTTACTAGTCCAGCAACAGCACCATGATAATCATTTCCAATGACATTCAAGAGATTTTCACATCGAGCTTCTCTTAAGCACAAGTCTCGCAAAAGATCATGCATCCTAATTGTCTTGATTTTGCCATTATAACTCTGTTTACCAACTAGAACAAGACTTCTATCAACAAGATCTTGCAAGCATTCCGTGGCCACTTCCTCCAGATTCTTATTGTTCACTGCCTCGAGAAATCCCTCTGCTGCCCACAACTTAACTAACTTCTTTACCGGGATTTCATAATCTTCTGGAAAAACCCCAAAATATAGAAAACAAGCTTTAGAGGGGTGTGGTAATTGGTTGTAACTCAAAGATAGTACACTTGAACATGCTTCAATAGAATCACCAATTACACTTTCTGCAACATTCTTCCACTTTTGGCTTAAAGCAAGCGCCTAGGGCGTGGTATGGTTGCATTGATTCATATTTTGTTGAAAGTGGTTTTATGAGATGTCCTCATGAACACACTTTGTATGTCAAATGCACGGATTCTGGTGATATTGTTCTAATCTGTCTGTATGTTGATGATCTGGTTTTTACTGGAAATAACTTGAAGTTAATCTCAGAATTCAGGGAGGCACTCATTAAGAGGTTTGAAATGACCGATATGGGTCTTATGTCTTACTTTCTTGGCCTTGAGGTTGTTCAGATGGATGGTGGAATCTTTATTTCACAAAAGAAGTATGCTGCTGATATTTTGAAAAAGTTCAAAATGGAAAACTCCAAACCAGCTTCAACTCCGGTAGCTGAAAAGTTAAAGGTGTCCAAAGATGAGTGTGGTAAGAATGTGAATGTTACGTCTTATAAAAGCTTAATTGGAAGTCTGAGGTATCTGGTGGCAACAAGGCCAGATATTTCTTTTGGAGTTGGGATACTTAGCAGATTCATGGAGGAGCCAAAAGAATCACATTGGGCTGCAGCAAAGCGAATTCTGAGATATGTCAAAGGTACGAGTAATGATGGAATTTTTTACTCTACTAATGAAGCTGTGGAACTTGTTGGGTACACAGACAGTGATTGGGCTGGAGATATTGAGACCAGAAAAAGCACATCAGGATATGCTTTCTATCTTGGTTCAGCCATATTTTCTTGGTCTTCAAAGAAGCAGCAGATTGTAGCACTTTCAACCGCAGAAGCAGAATATATTGCAGCAGCAAACTGTGCTACTCAAGCAGTTTGGTTGAGGAGAATTTTGGAGTTCTTACAACACAAGCAGGAAGCACCAACAACTATTTTTTGTGACAACAAGTCAGCAATTTCGTTGTCCAAGAATCCTGTCTTTCATGGTCGCAGTAAACACATTGATATCAAGTATCACAAAATCAGAGAACTGGTTGCTGAAAAACAAATCAACATTGAGTATTGTTCGAGTGAATGTCAAGTTGCAGATATTTTTACGAAGCCGTTGAAGACAGAGACATTTCTTAAATTGAAGAAGGATATTGGGATGACCAATATATTCAACTTGGTTTAAAGGAGGCAATGTTATAATAATAATAATAATAATAATAATAATAATAATAATAATAATAATAATAATAATATTATTATTATTATTATTATTATTAGTAATATTAAACCAAGTAGTTAGTTAATTGGTTAAAAATAATGGGAGTAATTATAGGTGCAGTACATGGCCATGATGTTAGCTTTACATGGAGCATTAACTCCTTTATTTTAGCATTTGAATTATCTTATCTAGTATAAATAGATTTGTTATTCAAGCATTTCTAATCATCAATAAAATTATCTATTCCTCTCTCTCTCTTCTCAATATATATAAATATAATATATAGATATATTATATTTAATATATATTATAGATATATTATATTATATTTAATATATATTATATTAAATATATTATATTTAATATATCTAACAAAAATCGATAGTATAAATAAATACTAATTTTTGTTTAAAATTCTCTAATTCTTCTTAATTCTCTTTTGGGTAGTATTGTCATTGTCTTCATCTTCAGTTCATGTCCTATTTTTATATTTTTTTCTTTTTTCTTTTATTAGTAGTGTGTCATGTGCAATTGGGTTACTGGTGGTAGCATAGAGGGATTCATTGTGCAATGAGATTATGGTGTAAGAAGCTTTAGATTTGCATTGTTGTGTATATGATGATTAGAATCTTAGTTGTACTATTAACTCTTTATCTTACAAATACCTGCTGGAAAAAATAGCTTAAAATGACATAAAATGGCATGTTAAGTTGCTATTTTGTGGTACAATTATCAGTGGGGTCCACTTCCGATTTGGGTCGGGTCAAAGTGGATTCGGATTCTTCGTAGTGAGACGAAGAGATTGATATATTGTACGTTCAAAACGGATAATGGGTGGCCTTGCGGGCTAAGTTATGCCAAACGACTGTAGTCTCGGCCATGGTCAGGCCGAAACAGTTGTCTCGGCCTTGCGGGCCGAGACAGTAAAAGGGCCGGCCGAAACTTCCAAGTGGCCTGGTGGTCGAAACTGGAAGTTTCGACCTACACGAACCTGTGCAGTTTTGTGACCGTTGGGTGTTCAAATCTACTGTTGCGGAATTAATTTTTGAAGTTAATTCCAATTTTTAATTTTCGAATTGAAACCCAAGTTTAAGGCTGCTGTTACAGGAAAGTGGAGGGGTGCCCTTAAGTGCCTAATAAAAGCTATTTAAATCCTTCACCCCTATATAAGGAGGAGTTGGGCAGTAGAGTTTTACACACAGAATTACACAACACGAAAGTATAATTTTCCAGCTTCAAAATCTCTGCTTCTACTCCTTCTTAGCCATACTGTGTTCATAGCTTGTCTTGCTCGCCAGATTCCTTGTTTGAGTGCTCAAACATTGAATCACTAGCAAATTTTATCCTGGGAAGCCTAGGCCACAACACTCCTAGCATCTTTGGGAGGTGGCAAATAAGGTTTTAAGGAAAGAGTGCTCAGTTGACTCTTGCAAAAACCCAACACCAAACACTAGCCAAATCTCTTCATCTTTTCTTCCCATCTTTCCAGAAAATAATAGTCATATTTTTATTTGATTATTATTTGTTTTCTACCAACGGTTCCTACAATACCTATTGATATTTGGTAGTGGTAGTTTTCTCCTACATGTTTCATGTGTTGTGATATATGTGTCGTAGGTTGTCATGTGAAAGTATTTAACAAAATATTAAAATTTATTATATTTGTATAAAATACTTGGTAAATAAATATATATAACATATTTTGTATTATAACTTTGATATTTAATTACAAGATAATGCAAAAAGAAGACAATGGACAATGTAGTGAATATAATAAATTTGAAGGTAATGAATCTTTGAATTGTAGAAAATAAAAATATTATAACTAATGAAATTATATCTCTTTTTAAATTTTTTATAATGAATAATTTTTTTTTTTAAATAAAGGCATTATAGACATCAAATTCTAAACTAATTAAATGCGTATGCATTATTTTTTGTTGTAACTACTAATTTATTTAATTTAATAAGAATAATAAAGTGGCGTACATACTTTTCATCAACAATAATGAAATCATTGATTTTTTTAAATTTACCTTCATTGTTTTAAGAGTTTGTCAATGACAATTTTTACAATTCTTATCAATAGAGGATGATAATAAATAATAAATAATTCAAAATATATAGTTACAATATATATTGTTATAATAATATAGTAAAAATTAACTTACAAATTTCTTTAGAAGTTTTCATGCATGGATAAAATTCTGACGTGTAAATTGTTCAATTGGAGCCAGTGAGATGTCAGCATTGTCAATTCTTTGGAAAATGGTCCTACCGTTTTAGAGTCCAGGTCTAATTGTATTTATGACAAACAAGTTTGTAGTTAGGTCGCGCAGGTCTAAGAATGATGTAAGAACAATTTTGTCCAATAAAAAAATAATAGTATAATATTTGTAAAGTAATGTACAATTGTACCATTATAAAAATACATTAAAAAATATTAATATCATAATAACCTAAATCATACCAATAATGCAAAAGTATAATTAAAATATTAAGTTTTGTTCTAATCTAAATAATCAAAAGAAGATTAATTAAATGGGAAAAAAAAAAAAAACTTAACCTAAATTTGTTTTATTTTTTTATTTTTTTTTAATAAATGCATAAAAATCAAATGATTTTTAAGGTTCTTGGATTTATAATCTTTAATGCTTAACTTTGAATGTTATGTATTTAGTCGGACTAATTATTTGACTAAAGTTTATGTTAAATTTTATATTATATTCGTAGTATATGTTTAACAATTATGCCAACCTTAATTGGATGAGGTTCGAACCTAAGGTATTTCTTATAGAAATTAATGAGTAAGTTAAAAATAATAAATAGTTAACGGAATAGTCTGTTAGTTTATACTAACAAAATTTAGGTTATTTAAGAGAAAAAAATAATATAATAGAAGATAAATAAGAAAAATCATTAAAAAAAATAATATCAACCATTCATTTTAAAAAAACAATAGCACCCACTATATATATATATATATATATATATATATATATATATATATATATTACAACAAATTCATTCCGTGCATTGCACGAGTGAAAATACTAGTAAGTAATAAACAAAATACCCAGTTCTGTCTTGGTAACTTGTTTAAGAATAAATGGATCATCCAATTAAGGTGTTTGCAAAGAAGACATTGCTCTTTCATCCTTGAGCTCCCCACTTAGCTTCTTACAAAGTCTATCTCAGATGGGCAACGTAGCATATCCTCCTCAAAGCTTCAAATTAAAGCGCTTTACTTGCATAGTAACAGGTAGCTTTCCCTTCATCTGCAAAAGAGACTCACTCTGGCATGGATTGCATGCCTTCATGTATGAGAGGACAAGAAACTCGATCTCATACTCAGATCCAAGAGTCTGATTGCAAATGCAGCATACCTGCCCTTATTCATTCTCTACCTTCCTTCTCATCACATCCTTCCTTTGAGATGTTTACTTTTATCAATACTGGAAATAATAAATTAAGTTATTAAAAAAAAAAAAAAGTAGGTGAACGCCCATTTATATAGGTAAGGAAATATGAGATAAAGAAAATTGAGAGAAACCATGCACATAATTATTGATTGCAAAGGAATTGCAAAGAGTTTAGATAACATGAAATGTGAAACAGTCAGAGATATAATATAATTGAGGCAGGGATAGAAAGAGACCCAAATATATTTAGAACGAACAAGGAGGGCTTCATTTCCATAGCTTTGCTGCTCATCTTGAATACGCTTTGCAGAAGTCAAAAGGGAATCCCGGCAGTTATTTAATTGAATCAATTCAAGTGAGGTAATATCGGCAAACGTAATAGGGATCTCTTCCAAGTGACGGCAATCATGTAACTCTAAGTGTTGAAGCACAGGGAAATGATCACCCACAACATTCCAATCTTGGAAACATATGCTTTCAATTACCAACCTTTTCAATTGACGGAACCCTCCCTCAGATGTCTCCCACTTTTTGCCTTGGCAAGCATCTATCAATTTTAGAATTTCTAAATTCGGCAACATACCAATAAGCCTCATATCACTCCATGGCAACCTAGTCTCAAACAATTTGAGCTTCTTAAGATTTGGTAGAAAACTAGTTGCCCATGGGATGCCACTACTAGAAAGTTCGAGATGCCACATTTTGATGCTTAGTTTCTCCAGCTGCCCCAAGTGCACAAAATTATAGAAACCATCTGAAATTTCATTTTCAAAATCCTCTAGACCTTTAATTCCCAATTTTTTAAAATTTGGAATCCTTCTAAAAAGATCCTCTGTACAACACTCCGGATGCAACCAAGATATAGTCTCTATGTTTCTATGAACAACCTCTGAAGCCTCTAATGTAAAAGGATTTATGTCCACATAAAAATTCCTTAACAATGGCATTTTCCAAATTCGAGATGCCTCACGGGAATCCAATATAACACCACATCCACGGACAATAAAACTTTGCATATTCCAATGCTCAAAGAACTTTAGTTTAAGAGGGCCTACTTTTTCACTTAGGGACAAAGCTAAGTATCTCAAGTGAACAAGATTTGCCATATATAGCATCTTATCTCCAATGTTCCAGATTCCAAGCTTCATGTCTACTACTCTTAATAGTTTGAAGTGACAAAGCACCTTAATCCTGAAATCAATATGATCAACAGAGTGTAAGGAATGGAATTTGTCAAAGCACTTAGATCCAACTGGAATATAGTAACATCTAGGATTAATACTTATCCAAGGACAAGCTTTTGAAAACAAGTGATGTGATTTCCTCTTGTAAAATGGAAGTTTTACTAGTCCAACATCAGCACCATGATAATCATTTCCAATGACATTCAAGAGATTTTCACATCGAGCTTCTCTTAAGCACAAGTCTCGCAAAAGATCATGCATCCTAATTGTCTTGATTTTGCCATTATAACTCTGTTTACCAACTAGAACAAGACTTCTATCAACAAGATCTTGCAAGCATTCCGTGGCCACTTCCTCCAGATTCTTATTGTTCACTGCCTCGAGAAATCCCTCTGCTGCCCACAACTTAACTAACTTCTTTACCGGGATTTCATAATCTTCTGGAAAAACCCCAAAATATAGAAAACAAGCTTTAGAGGGGTGTGGTAATTGGTTGTAACTCAAAGATAGTACACTTGAACATGCTTCAATAGAATCACCAATTACACTTTCTGCAACATTCTTCCACTTTTCCACCTTCTCCTCTGTCTTGGAGAGAAGACTAGCTACTAAAGTAATAGCTAGAGGTAATCCTTTACATTTCTTCACTATGTCTTTACCAATTTGCTCAAACACCGAAAGAAATTCTGTTTTACCAAACACATTGCAGTAGAGATTCCAACTTTCATTGGCATCTAAGAAAGACAGGTTAATGATAGAGTTACCTGAAGTAGCAGCATATTCAGCCACCTCTCTCAGCCGAGAAGTCAATAGTATACGGCTTCTATTATTATCATCTGGAAAGCACCTTTGCACACTATCCCAAGCTTCTATGCTCCATATATCATCTATCACTATCAAGTATCTCTGACCCTTCAAGCGTTTACGCAGGCTTTCTGCTAATTGGGCTTGGTCATTGCTGCTTTGTTCATCACTTGATGCACTAACACAACCAATAAGGCATCTGAGCATTTGCACCACGGTATACTCTTGGGATACAGTAACCCATGCTTGCTTGTAAAAATAAGATGTAATTGATGGATCCTTGTAGACTTCCCCAGCTAAAGTGGTCTTGCCTATTCCTCCCATGCCAACGATTGATACAACTTGGAGCTGTTCAGCTGATTGTCGCCTGAGCTTATCCAATACCGTCTTGAGTTCCTTGTCGCATCCAACCATTCTACTGTCAAACTTTGAAGCGATTTTGGAAAATTTACTCACATGAATATTATTCTGGCGTTCTGGATCAGCAAGCGGCGATGATGTTGAAGCAAGGAGTAGTCCACTTCGTCGCATCATTTCACCTTGTGATGGACCCTTTGCACTAATTTTAATCAACTCCTTGAGGTAATCAGTCTGTTTTACTGCTTGATTGAAGATTCCACGAAGCCTGAGAAGGGAAGCCTTTATACGAATACGCTTCGTCCAACCCTTTGCTAGATATATGCCACTCAACTCCATCTCGATCCTTTCTTCAGCTTTGAATGCTACATCTCTCATCTCTGCCTCTAAACGTTTCATCGCCGAATTATCATAGGCGATCTCAGATTTCTCAAGAACTTCTTGGAGGAAACCAAGATTTTCATGGAGAGATTCAACTATCTCTTGGTTGTCTTGAACAGGGAAGCTTGGTTGTGATTGCAAGAAGTGTAGATGGAGTGTTCCTTTAAGCGAAGTTACAGCAGCATAAGCCATTTGCGATAATCTGATCAGAGCAGAGCAAAGAAGAAATGAAATATGTGATGCAAATGAAATATGTATGTATATATATATAAATATATATATATATATATATATATATATATATATATATATATATATACTAATAAGAGCCAAGAGAGTTAGACCTATAATGGGTAGAAAAAATGGCGGTCAAAATTTTTAATCAAATGAATGGCTCAGATTGATCATATTTTAATTTTTCTTTAAGATTTTCTAATTTATTCTTAATAAATATGATTATCCGTTAACTTTTCCGTTAAATATTATCTTTTTCGTTAATTTCGGTTAGTTCACCGTTAACTTATTCATTGATTTCAGTAAGAAAGATCTTAGGTTCGAACCCCATCTCAATCAAAGTTGGCATAATTAGTACTTTATTTTACTCTTATTAAATTACTAGTTTTTGTACGCGCTTTGCGCGAATGGGATAATGCCCAATAATTATCTTTAAATAATTATTTCAAAGTATATGAATGCAATAATATATAAGAGATGTTCATGCATAGGTAAATAAATGTTGAATTTGTTTATTTAAATCGGTAATTTAAAGTATATACAAGATAATATATGAGAGATTGATTATAATTGTCACTAAAATAAATGTTTGCAACTTTGTAATAACGTTAGTCTAAATACTTAGTCTTAAAGCGATAGTCTAAATAAATACTACTTTTGATTTAAATTTTTTTTTTTTTTTTTTTTGAAAGCTGATTTAAATTTTTCTAATTCTTCTTAATTCTCTTTTGGTTAGCATTGTTATTGTTTTCATCTTCAATAGTGTGTCATGTGCAATTAGGTTACTGGTAGCAGCATAGAGGGATTCATCATACAATGAGATTATAGCGTAGAAAGTTTTAGATTTGCCTTGCTGTGTATATGACTGAGATTTTAGTTGTAATATTAACTCTTTAGCGTACAAACACCTATATTGGTATTTAGTAGTGGTAGTTTTTTCCCTACTTGTTTCATGTGTTGTGAGATGTGTGCCGTAGGTTATCATGTGAAAGTATGAACAAAATATTAATATTTATTATATTTGTATAAAATACTTAGTAAATAAATAAATAAATAAATAAATAAATAAATAAATAAATATATATATATATATATATATATATATATATATATATATATATATATATATATATATATATATATATATATATATATATATATATATATATATATATATAACATGTTTTGTATTATAACATTGATATTTAATTACAAGATAATGGAAAAAAGAAGACAATGAACAATGTAGTGAATATAATAAATTAATAAATTTGAAGGTAAGGAATCTTTGAATTGTAAAAAATAAAGATAATATAACTAATGAAATTATATTTCTTTAAAATTGTTTATAATGAATAATTTTTTTTAAATAAAGCATTATAGACATCTAATTCTAAATTAATTAAATGTATATGTATTATTTTTTATTGTAGCTACTAATTTATTTAATTAATAAGAGTAATAAAGTGTGGTACATACTTTTTTTCAAGAATAATGAAATCAATGATTCTTTTTAATTTCCATTCCTTGTTGAGACAAATTGTTTTGAGAGTTTGTCCATGACAATTGCTACAATTGCTGTCAATAGAGAATGATAATAAATAATTCAAAATATATGGTTACAATAGATATTAATATAATGATATAGTAAAAATTAACTTACAAATTTCTTTTGAAGTTTTCATGCATTGATAAAATTTTGATGTGTAAACTTGCTCACTTGGAGCTCGTAGGATGTTAACATTGTCAATTATTTGAAAAATGATCCTACCGTTTTAGAGTTCATGTATAATTGTATTTATGATCAACAACTTTGTAGTTAGGCCGCGTAGGTTTGACAATGATGTAAGAACAATTTTGTCTGATAAAAAAAATAATAGTAGAATATTTGTAAAAAGTAATGTACAATTGTACCATTATAAAAAAAAGTACAAAAAATATTAATACCATAATGGCCTAAATCATTCCAATAATGCAAAAGCATAATTGAAATATTAAGTTTTGTTCTAAATAATCAGAAGAAGATTAATTAAACCAAAAAAAAAAAAACACATAACCTAATTTTTTTTTTAAATAAAAAATTCAAGAAAATCAAATGATTTTAAAGTAGTTCCTGATTTATAATCTCTGATGTTCAACTTTGAATGCTATGTATTTAGTCGAGCTAATTATTTGACCAAAGTTTATGTTAAATTTTATATATATATATATATATATATATATATATATATATATATATATATATATATATATACATTTTAATATATTCATAATATATGTTTAACAATTATGCCAACTATACTTGGGATGAGGTTCAAACCTAAGACCTTATATAAATTAAGAGTATGTTAAGAATAATAAATAGTTAACGGAATATTCCGTTACTAAAGTTTAAACTAACGGAATTTAGGGTTATTTAAGGGAAGAAAATAATATAATAGAGGGTAAATAAGGAAAATCATTAAAAGATACTAAAATCAAAATAATATGAACCATTCATTTTAAGAAACAATTAGTACCGACATTTTTTTTGTTCCAGTTAAGGGCCTAACATTATTCACTCTTATTAGATTTGTAGAAATAATAATTTAGTAGCTACAACAAAAAATTATTATTATTATTATTATTTAAAAAAAATAAAAAATATAATTAAGCTAACCATATTAACTACTTGGGGGATTCATTGACAAAAAGAGCATTCAAATCATACAACAAATTGAAGTGAAAAATTATCTCGCAATGTCCTTGTTCGGAAATAAACAATTAGCTCTTCAATATAGTTTATATTTAATATTTTATGCCCTAATTTTTATTTGCTCTCCCTTATGTCCCGTATTTGGTTTCAACCATACATATACAATTATTTTATTAACAATTATAATCAATCTTGACTATATTATCCTGCAGAAACTTAGAATTGACTATCTAAATACGCAAATTTAATATTCAATTATCTATGCATGAATAATTTCAATATAATTTTGGCTTGATATACTTTAAATACTTATTTAAAAAAAAAACATTAAGCATTATCTCAATTGCGCCTAAAAAACTATTACATTTATAAATATTCAACACATTGTCAGGTAGATATTAAAAAAAAATTAAAAAAGAAATGTTTAAATTTTTCCACCGAGGAATCCCCAAATTGAAGCTTCTTGCTGTTCATATTAATGAAATCCCCAAATTGAAGTTTGTAGCTTTTCATCATATAAATAAGAACAGGAAGAAGAAGAAGAAGAAGAATACCTAAACCAGCATTAAGAAATCCAGTCTCTCTTCACCCTATCGATCACCACAATTGAAGCAAATAGCTAAGCTTATCGATCTCCACATGGCGGTAATTGAGTCCTTAGCTTGAAGAAACCAGATGGCGGCTGAGGATGATGGTGGGGCCACTACTTCTTCTTCTTCTTCTTCCTTGCTTGTTGCTGCTAAGGACTTTGTATTGTATGGCTGTGAATTTTGTTGTTCGACGCCAAACAGATCTGTTGGAACATGGCGCTCATTTCATATGATCGAGTTGAGAATTCAGGTAGGTGCAATTTAATAAGAAGAGGGATCAAATTTTCTATGGAAGAAGTGAGGCTAAAATACCTCATTATTATATTATGCCCATCATGTGCAGAGCTGAAATTGATTAATTTAATACTTAATTTTGTTGGGGCAATTTCTTTCCGCCAGCTGCGCGTAGTGGGAATAATAATGGTTGGGTTGGATTTCCCTCTTATGTGGTAAATAGTTTAATTTGGACTAAGTATATTTTTGTATTTACTATAACAGATATTTGTTGAATTTTTAAAAGTTGCTTGGCGGTGGAACTGTTCGACAGAAGTCAAGAAGAGGAAGTTTCTTTTTCTTTATTTCACACTCCTTTTGCATAGGTGTGAAAATTTGAAAAAATGGATTTCTTTATTCCATCCCCATTTCTGCGGTTAGCATGAAATGAGGTAAAATTAATTGCCTTTGGTTGATATATACATACTCTACTACTTTCATTGTGCAGAGGTAGAAGATAGTAGAAAATAGAGAGAGAAACATTTTCTCAAAAGTCTTCCTTCATTTGGGAGTGAAGGGGAAAGGAAATCATTTCATTTGTTTCATCCTCCATTTTGACGCAGTTCGTGGCGTTGGTTTGCCGAAACTCTTGGGTACTAATCAAATATTTGTAGAGGTCAATCAACTCGTTTGTTCCTGACATCGTTTGGTAATCTCGTACTATTTATATTCATTTTATCATATTTGTGGTGGTTGAATATTTGGAGTACGAGATATTATTCTTTCTAGCCTGTGAACATAATAGAATGTATTTGGCCTAGTATTGTTGTATTTGATGATTTTATGATATATGACTCGTGTGATAGTCTGAAACTTTGTACCCGAAATTTGTTATAGTGAAAACTTTATCCCGTGATTTTTCCTCGATTTGGGGTTTTTCACGTAAATCATGTGTCTCTTGTGTTTGTTATTTATTTAGACTATTTTGTACTATTTCGTATTTGTGCTCTTATCGATTCTGTGATTTTATTTGTCACAGGCAAAGGGATTTTTCCCAACAATAATTAATATAATTCAATTTCCATTTCTCAGCTCCTCATGTGATTAAGGCAGCGCAAGTGGAATACGTACTTAAACTCCTACTAATTAATCCATTTTAGATGGAAAAATCAGCTGAGATGAAGAAATAACAGCAACTTCATATCAGAAGCAGAAACCATAATAATTTAAGATGCAACACACTACGTATTGAGTCAAATTCATGTACATCAATTAGGGGGAAAATTATTGTCCATACAGTGTTGTTTAGACCATAACAAAAAATACATTTTTAATATACTAAACGTACATTATTTTACAATATATAAAACATGGTCCATACTGCATGTATGGACCATGGTCCACACAATAATGATTGAACTAGGGATGGAATAGACCACGCCCTTTGTAGGGAATTATGACCTGACCTATTTGGGGCCTGACTTGTTTAGTAAAAAAGTCAAACTTAGGTCAATTTTAAAGCCTATTTAGTTAAATAGGCCCAGACCTATATGTAAAGGTTTGACCTACGAGCCTGCAGTCCGCTTGTGTATGTATATATATATATATATATATATATATATATATATATATATATATATATATATATATATATATATGGGTGCGAATCCAGTGAGACCCTATAAGGCTATAATGCATGAGATCATGAGATCTCATCACACCCATTAATTCATTGTTAATAGATGGTTAAGATTGAAAGAGAAATGTAAATTAATTAAGAATATATTTAAACTAGAAGGATAAACAAGTAATTGTAGTCATGTGTTTAAATTGGGTGAGAATCAAATTGAAAGCATTAGCTTGATATTAGGGACAATATAAGTGGCAACAACTAGTTATAACATGTGTACAGAGTTGTTGAAGAGAAAATGTGCGTAGAGTAGGCTGAATATGACATCAATTCAGAGCTTGCAAATGAATAGTCACAATACTGGTACGTGCAATTGTAATTTTTTTTTACTAATTCTTTACGGTGGTGTGTGCGAATAAGATCGATGGCGTGTGCATTTTGTATGGACTTGGTTCTATGCATTTTTTTTTTTTTTTTTTTTTTTTTTTTTTTTTTTTACAGGGCGTTTGGTTGGAGGGAATTTAAATTCCATTCCAATCAAATTTCAAAGGCTACTAAATTCCTTAGTTTGGTTGGAAGGAATTGCAATTCCACGAAATTGCAATTCCCTTATTTTCATGGAATTAAAATCGCATGTCCCCCTTGGGATTTTAATTCCATGGATCTTGGGAAGAAAAAAAGATAATGATGAGACAAAATTACCTCTCCCCCCCCCCCCCCCCCACCCCCACCATCTTTTAACCTAAAATTGATACCTGACAACAACAATGTGCATTTTGATCTTTATACTACTTATTCCCTTTTAATTCCAATGTATACCAAACATTGAAATTGTATTTCCCAGTAATTTTATTCTTGTAAACCAAACACTGGATTTTAATTTCCACTTTATTCCTAGTAATTCATCTCCCATGCAATTGCAATTCCTTTCCCACATAATTCTCTCATTCCAACCAAATGTCCCGCTAGGGTTTTCAAGATTATTAGTTGTTGTGTGCGTTAGTATACGTTGTGGGTTTGTTTTTGAGTAAAAGACTTAAATAGTGCAACTGTTTTTTTTTTTTTTTTTTCTGTCTTTCCGACATGTGACGTATTTTACGTTAGTATGTGCGTATATACATTTTGTATGGACTTGGTTCTATGCAATTTTTTTTTTAGGATTTTCAAGATAATTAGTTGGTGTGTGAGTTAGTATACGTTGTGGGTTTGTTTTTGAGAAAAAAACTTAAATAGTGCAATTGATTTTTTTTTTTTTTGTTTCCGACATGTGGCGTATATTACGTTAGTGTGTGCGTATATATGTTTTGGCGTGTGCAAATTGAATGGATGGGAGTTTTTTTTTTTTTTTTGAAGTTTTTAATTTTAAAACCCGAGATTAATATTTGGTGTGTGCGTGAATTCATGTTGGTGGGACATTTTTAAAGAAAAAGATTTTAAAATTGGAAGGGCTTGTTTTTTTATTTGTTAACAAGAGGTATATATAACGGTGGTGTGCACGCGTTAGGTATCTGGCGTGTGCATATTTACGAGTAGCATTCCTACTCTGGTCAAACTAGGCCACCATAATTGTCTGACGACACTAACGCGTTGTTTGCCTAACCAACTTTGACCGATCAAGAAGGATAACGTCAACCCATTTGCAACTTTTTTGTCCGAATGTGTACAGTGTGCACGGGTAAATCAACGTCACTCTATGTAGTAGTCGATAAATCTCAAAAAATAATTAAGAAGTCCATCTGTGATAGGCATGACTGAGAATGTGTTAGGCAAAAATTGGACATAACTTTTATAGTAGATGAATTATATTTCACCCACTTAGAGCAACCACACTAGCAGGTTTTTGTTGATTTTTTGTGGAGCCCACTATAGTGTGGGTGAAAGAAAAGAATGAGAGAGAAGCATTTTTTTTCCTGCAAGAGAAGAGTTTTTTGTGAGCCCCTATGAGAGAGAAGAATGAAAAGAATTATCGCAGGCTCAAGCGTTTCACGCACAACATGTGCACAGACTGCACACGCTCGATCGCTGGCGCGTTAAGGGGTAAGATTTTCAGTCAATCAAAGTTGGCATAATTAGTACTCTATTTTATTCTTATTAAATTAAATAACTAGTTCTTTTACGCGCTTTGCGCAAATGAGATAATACCCAATAATTATTTTTAAATAAGTATTTCAAAGTATATTAATGCATATTATATAAGAGATGTTCATGCATAGGTAATAAATGTTGAATTTGTTTATTTAAATCAGTAATTCAAAATATATAAATGCAAGATAATATATGAGATGTTGATTATAATTGACACTAAAATAAATGTTTGCAACTTTGTCTAAATACTTAGTCTAAAAATAATAGTTTAAATAAATATTACTTTTAATTTAAAATTTTCTAATTCTTCTTAATTCTTTTTTGAGTAGTATTGTCATTGACTTCATCTTCAGTGCACATTCAGTAGATTTTGTTGTTCGACTCCAAACAGATCTGTTGGAACATGGCGCTCATTTGATATGATCGAGTTGAGAATTATGGTGCAGTGCAATTTAATAAGAAGAGGGATCAAATTTTCTATGGAAAAAGTGAGGCTAAAATAGCTCATTATTATATTATATGCCCATCATGTGCAGAGCTGAAATTGATTAATTTAATACTTAATTTTGTTGGGGCAATTTCTTTCCGGCATCAGCGCGTAGTGGGGATAATAATTACTCCGTAATATAAATCAATTTCCATCTCTCAGCTCGTCATGTGATTAAGGCAGCGCAAGTGAAAAATATTTGTTGTCCCCAAGCAAAAATATTATTTGAGAAGTAAATTAAAATGAAAATTTCAAAACTCATAATATATCATGAACAACAATTTAAAACATCTTGCAATTAATAAGTTAGCACCCCTGTCTGAAAATTGAGAGAACTAAATAAGTAAGCACTCACAGGATAACATTTATGCATCCATGACGAGAATTCTCTCCCGTTAGAGGCGATTCTTTCCTTGCGTTTGCTTAGCTATTTTTGGTATCTTTCCCGCGCCTGCCCTAGCCGTTACGGCAGGCTACGGCGGAACGCTGGCCATGCAGGCGCCGCCGGTGGCCGCTAACCCTCCGCCTCTGGATCAAGAGATGGATACGGAACCAGCGCAGCATACCCACAAGAAGGCCTGTACGACGAAACGTTCCTTTGCAGATACGCTTGGTCCTCCGTCAACTCTCGAA